AAAATGTACACAAAGCCTTTATATACCCTTCAAAACCTTAAAGCCGTTTATCTCGGGTGCTGCCAAGGCGAATTTATCCTTGGGTGCTGCTTTTGGAGTTGTCACTATTGAAGTAAATGAGCGATATGTATGTATCTACATACGTTAGTGAAACTAGACATGTTTCTTTGATGAATTTCCCATACTTATTTACACATGTGAAACAAATGGTCACAGCGTCGTTGAAGTACCAAAGATCTTTAGCATCCTACCTACCTACTTCAGGATAAATATAAACGGGCAATTCATGCTGCACTAACATACATACATGCGCTCACTTGAAATCGCTCTTCTTAAAATTAAAGTTAAATTCCTACAACATGTAATGCTGTTAGAGTCGAACTTGAAATTTTGAATAAAATAAGATTTTAATCTAGGTCATTTACATTATATCGCTCGTCGAATCTCCTATATTCCAAAAGACTTGACTTTTTACTTACTTTAACGCAACAACGTTATAAATGTACATACATACATATGTATACATACATACCGAACCCTTAATTCACAGAGGCCCTAATCAATAATTTTTTTATTTTACCGGAGAAGCAAAAAACAATACAAAAAGAGTATTTTTCCATTGGAATTATAAAATCTATTATATTTTAAGATGTGCACCAAAATATTTCCGAAAAATTTTAAGATTTAAGTGAGCTGGACCGATTTGAAAATACCTCCAAAAATTTAGTTTTTCATGAATAAAAATAGTTTCTTAAAGATTTTTTTTTTTTTAAATCTCCTCAAATGACAAAACGGTTTAAGGTTAAAAAAAAATTGCATGAAAATATTTTTAAAAAATTTAAAAAAAATTTAAACGGAATGGTAATGATGAGATTTTTGATGCTGTTTTTTAACTTTTTTCAAAGATTGGTATAAGAAAAACTTGAATAACTGAACCTTAAGCTCTTCCGATTTAGACTTAAGAGGTGTCATTGGAAAGGTATTTTCTCACCCTTTTTATTTCTTTGATAACGAACTCATTAAAAGGATGAAAGAGAAAGGTAGGATGAACGAACGTCATTCAAAGTTGAATTAAGATGTGTTGGTATTTGAAAAAAAAATAAAAAATTGGACACGAATGATTTTTTTTTGACAGAAATAAAAACAGTGTGAAAATACCTTTCTATCGGGATCCCGTAAGTCTAAATAAGAATAGTTCTGGCCCAGTTATTCAAGTTTTTTGTAAATCAATCTTTGAAAAAAGTATAAGAAAATACAGCATCAAAAATCTCATTCTTACGATTCCGTTGAAAAGATTTTTAAATATTTTTATGCAGATTTTTTAATCTTAATCTGTTTTGTCATCTGAGGGGACTTTTTTCAAAAAGTTCTTTAAGAAACTATTTTTATTCATAAAAAAACTCCATATTTGGACGTATTTTCAAATCGGTCCAGCTCACTTAAATCTTAATATTTTTCCGAAATATTTTGGCGGACGTCTTAAAATATTATAAATTTTGTAATCCTGGCGGAAAACCCGCAACTTTTTTTGGTGATGCAGTCTAATGTACATATGTATGTATGTAATCACAACTACAATATTTATTTTCTAACAAATTAAAGCCTAGGTGCAATAGCATACCAAACACAAGTGTAAGAACATACATACATCGATATAGACGACTTCATGTGGTGACGTACATTGTAAGCTCGGTTTAACTGGAGCCAGACAGATAACAGACAAGCGAACATGCGTTTGGATGTCAGTGTTTAATCGACACTAACACAACAGGTACAAAGTGCACAAAT